AGATAATGCAAAATAGGAAATCTTGCAACCACTTAGAAATCAAAGATACACTCAACTTTATCTATAATTCCATTCTGTCTCAATCCTGTTAGTAACCTAGTTAGGAGGTAGCAGATATAGGTGTGGTTCATTCATGGAAAGCAACTTGCACATGTACATGCACGTATATATTCATATCCTAGAGTCACTTTCGATTTTAATTTCAGACAGACTACAGTCACGTTATTTTTAGATTAACATCTGAAAACTCAAGAATATCCCAATCAGTTCCTGGCTCTGTATCCAACAACCAACTCACAAAACTTTTCTCGTATCCCTTTAGCATTTCATAAACTGAACAGTGGCCCTTCTCACAGACTGTTATGAGGCAAAATTACATACTAAGCTGGATTGAATTCCTTGGAGAAATAATTACAGGACTATAAAACTGTGACTTAAGTGACAATTTTCAGTGATAAATTCCATGGCATTTGCAGTTTCACTCTGCTTGTCTCTGTAACAGCTTTGAATTTATCTTCTGCAAATTCCTTCTTTCAGCCTCAGAGACAGAAAGAACATTATTCTGGCTCTTTCAGCTGGGATTCTTTTCCACACCGTCTCCCCTTCCCATGCCTTATATACGACATTACTCCAAGTTTATACGTCAGCACTCTACTCTCTGGGGGCCAGTGATGCTCAACACGTGGCCAACGACCACGGACTACATCAGAATTACCTGGGAAGCCTGTAGAGGAACAAAGACTCCGGGGCCGTGCCAGCCCGAACAAATCCCAGAGTGCCTGGGGTTGGAGCCAAGGGCCTGCATGTTTCCCAAGAACCACAAATGTTGATACACTCTACAGTTTGAAACCCGCCCAGACATCTTCTCAAGTTTGCAGCTTTACCCATCCCAGCCTCCAGAAAAAAGTAGCAAGGCAGGTATGGCAAGACGGCGACCAAGAACCCTAGCTGGGACCAAGGCCTGGCTAGAACCCTGGCTCCATCAACCACTAGCTGTCAGAGTATGGTCTGTGGTGAGACTTACAGGAGACAATGTGTGCACAGGACCTGGCAGAATGTTTGGCTTAAAGTGGGTATTTAACAAATGACTGCTGTTATTAGTACCGTCACTTTCTGTCAACATGCCTCAACCTGATTATGCGTCCTCACTTCCCACCTTGCTCAAACTGCCTTGCGTTTCAGGATTCCCTATTTCTGTTGTTCCAACCATTTTACAAGTTGCCCAGGCTGCAGCCTGCTCAACTTTTCCAGTGACCAAGAGGACCAAGCTGCCTGACATCTCAAGCCCTACCTCCCTCACCATGCCACATCCTTCTCCAACTAACAAAATTATTTTGTAAAGTTTTTCTTCACGATCGCAGCTTCAAGTAACCTGTTCATGTGCTCATCCACACACCCTTATCTCCTATAAAAATCCACTGGCAATTAATCAAATACTGGCCTGTGACAGCTCTTCTGTAATTGTCTTAAACTGTGAACTTCTCCCCTGATATTTCACCATTTACTTGTTTTTATATTGTAATTACAGTATAAGCTGCTAACACAGGTAGAGACTATTTGATACTTTCATCTATATGCTCAGCACTTCACTTGTTAACATGCGGTCAGCATTCAAAGGATTATACAGAAACTCTACCCGAATGCTTAATTTTAAGCATTTGAGTAGAAGAAGCATGTTAAGTAATTTGACCTCAAGGTCAAAATCTTTTCTTGGCTGCTAAGGACAATCTTGTCTGAGGTTTGGAGGAATTCTGTTATACAACGAATTGCTTAAGGAGAGGAAACTGGAATGGGAGGGAGATGGAGGTAGTGGTCAGATAAGCCATAATCAGATATCCTATTGGAAAAAGAAAACTAGATGCTGCCACGAGCCATAAGCATTAAATTTACCACCTCAAACAGCCTGTAAACAATAATGTGACTTAAGCTACAGAAGTGGCACTTTACAAAACCTAAGTTGTTATTACTAAAGTCACAGTACTCCCTATTTTCAATTTTAATACAGCCAGGCTCTTCAAAATGAGCACAAGTCAATTCAGAGGTGTTACTGGAATTATTTCCTTTACAGTAGAATCCTAAATTTAGACCATATGGAAGACACTGGAAAAGCACACAAATAATTCAAAAGGGCAGGTCTCAATTTATAAAACCAGAACTCTAGATCTAACACTCAGCCCAATTAATAATTTTTTGTTCACGGTGCAGCCAGAAACAAAATGATTTCATGCGTAGTTTCAAAAGATTGTCATGCTGTGTACCTTCCCATTTTGCATGATATGATCTCATATACAAATAAACAAATGTTCTATTTGTAACATTTCTTCTTGTTCTTGAGATGAAACCCAAGACCTTAGAAAGATAACCAAACATGCAGAAAGAGTATTAACATAATCTTCCTTAAACCATTACAGTGACTTAAAATACTTGTTTGCTAGTTGGAAAAACTACTTAATGGGCTTTCAGTGTGGACTAGCCAGAGGAAGAAAATACACTGGAAATTGACATTTTCGACAGGTATAAAACATCTGAAGAAATGTAGGTGGGACTATTTAGCAAAGCTTTAGATGACAGCCAACTCATAAGCAAATGTTGTAAATGACACACTGAGAAACTGAAAAACAAAAACAAACACCCTCTGTACTTCACTTTTCCCCTTTGGAAAGAGAAAACAAGAATTTCGTGAAGAGCAAAATCCTATTCAAAATTTCAACACCACTTAAAATAAAGGAAACCTAGTTGTATTATACATTAAAAAAGTCGTGCTCGTGTTAAGTTGCCAAAGCCTGACACTTGATTAATGTTGGGGGCGTGAGAGATTGGAAGGGCTCGAAAGGCTGGTAGGACTAAATGGACAATGACAATGGGAAGAGCAGACAAAAGCTGGATTTCTCATAACATTGCCTAGTCACTTCCCACAAACTGTAGTTAATTTTATAATTTAATCTTTTTGGAAGACAAGGAAAAAACTAACCATTTTGGCTAAAATATCTATCATTCCAGTCTGATGGGACTTTTCTTCTCTCTCGCTCTCTCTCTCTCTCCCTCTATGCTGACCTGGAGGTTTAGAATCAGTGTTTGTAATGGCAACATTTTATAGCAGTTAAGTTCTCCCAGTACCTAGTATGAAATCATCACAAAGGGTGAAGGCCGTGGTTAATAGAAAACGTCAAAACTTTAAAGGACATCAAGGCTGTAAATCCCATCCCAAATCCATAACCAGGATTTTACTATTTTGGCTCCCATATGAACAAAATTTTTCAAACGCAAATTAAGAAAAAAATACACACACACACACACACAACCAAGTAGCACAAAAGCTCCCCCTGGGATTTTGCAAACATAACACACTTGGGTGAGGGGAGAGAGCTAGTAAAGGCAGCAGAGTGCCTAAAGACTTGCAATCACAGAAACAATACCCCAACCAGCCAAAGCCCTCACCCTATTCATCAAATGCATTTTTGACCTCTAAAAACCCTCTTACCTGTTTACAAGAGTTTACACAGCTGTTTGCCACTGGAACACCACCTTGCAGAGTATAACCGTGGCATCCTTTGTTGATAATCACCTGTTGCCTAAGTAAGCATCATCCCGCATGGAGACAGACAGCACTAGGGCTCTTCCATCCGAGGTTAAAATTCAAAACAAGCCCAACAAGCCTGCATTTCAAGGTGGTCTTCGTCTGCAACTAGTTAAGTTTAAAACTGGCAAACGACAATGGCGTCTGAAGCCCACGGTGCAGCACTGCTGGCTTCCTCTTGAACTCCAGCGTTGTCACTGTGCACCGAAGTCTCCTGCTGCAAACAGGGGAGTTGTTCTCCTGTACTGGGAACAGCTTCCAAAGCTCAGGAGCCCCTGTACAGGATAACGCAGGAACTAAAGGCAAACACTTTTTCCTCCTTAAGGACGCCTCCATTTTTTCCTCACACTCTGTACTACCAACCGAAGTGACTGGGCCTGAGTGTGCGTTCGTACCTACGAAACCGTCACGGTGCATGCACATCCAAGGCATGTGGAACCACAGGTCAAATAAGGCACAGATACCGAGTAACGGTTCTAATTACAAACGCTAGCTCTCAGGAACTCTTCATCCATTCAGCACTAAACCCATCACTGCATAACTCTGGGAAGAAGCCCCTGGAGACGGAGGAGCTCTCCAATGTGTCAGGAAAGGCTTTATTAACATCATCATTAACATTTAAAAAGCAAACGGAGCATTTCTCCTTCTTTTGGCAATTTGGTGCAAATGTTAAGTGCAAGATAAAGCAATCTCAAACTTTTCTTCAAATTAAAAATGAAACTAAGGCCAAACGTGATGGGTGAACAAAATAAATCAAAACTTAAATTTCAGCAACTCCGGCTCTTCAAACCAGCAAAGCCCCCGACTCGTGCACTGTGGTGAGGCTTACGGTGCTTGCCCCGGCTTCTTGCGTGCCAGCAAACAGCACCATTTCCTCATCAAGTTGAGGACCGAGAAGCAAATGATCCCCTTCGCTGCAAACAAAGGGGGTCACAGTAACACTAGTGATCCTTCAGAATTGACACACCGTGATAGTCAAAATGATGGTCTCCCTGCTTCTTGCTCAAGACATACAAGATCTGAGCAGCAGCAAGAACCCCCTCAGCTGCAAACAAAGGGGTCAAAGGTTTGCCGTCAATTCACTTCCAGGCAGAAAAACATTTTCCTCAAAAGAAACAATTTATTTAGAATAAAACAAAAGCAGCTCAACTGTGAGCGCACGTTTGAGTGACAGCTACTTTTAAGCTGTGTGAGCCATAAAAAGGGTTTTTCTTTACTTTTCCAGAAATCTTGTGTACACAGCACAAAGCAAGAGGTCATTTTTTTTCCACTTAAAACACCGGCATTGGCATCACAATAGCAGATACACAACTTTAAGCTGCCATTTTAGTAAAATGCACAAATACTAAACAGATTAGCTTTCTTCCATCAAGAGGCCCATGTAAACTCCACATAAGCCATAACTTCTCTTCAAAAAGGTCCATTAGAGCTTTGAATTCCATATCTTCAATCCGCAGTTCACCAGTTTTGCTTGCGGGGGGGAAAAAAAGGTTATTCAGTACAAATGTTTACAATATTAAAAATATATATATTTCCCCTATGCCATTATAGATGAACATAACATTAACAAGACCTTCCTGGATAATCCAGCTTGACTTCAAAAAGCACCAATAATACCCACTGGCACATACCTTGAATGAGTTTACCGTATGAATAGACAAATAACAAGTAGAACAACAGGGTGGACTTTTTTAAGGACTGCCACTGAGCGAAGATTACAGGACTGAAAATACCCCTTGTACTCATGTAACTGAGTAAAACATATCAAACAAATTCAGAAAGACAGGAAGTTTACAATCAATTTATGATCAATATATTCTAAATAGAACTTAAAAAATGAAACTAAAAAAAAGGTGGAGTCAAACTTTTACCCCCTCTGTTTTCGTTCTGTAATTTATATGGAACAATACAGAACTACTCTGTTGCTATAGAAAGGGGTCAAGATACAAAGCCATTTAAAAATCCACCTTCATCTGGGTTACCAAAGACAGCCGCTGTTATTTTAAGAAAACACTCGTACAGACAATTGCTAAACACCCAAAGAACGGTTTAGGACTTTTACTTTTCAACTCTGTTTAAACCAAACGTATAAAACTTTTTACTCAGCTAGACAGTTCACTGTGGTTACCTGAAATCATTGTCTCCCTTTAGGGACATTCACTAGAAGCAGACTGCTAACGGGGCCAACTCCACCCCACTTCTCTTCTTGTCCTCATACCCAACTGCTATCTCAAAACCAAACACTGTGGCAGAAACAGAAAAAATCGTCCATAAGTTCTCTCCCAAACTTTTCACATAAAAAGGTCATTAAGGCCCTCTTCTCAAGAGGAGATCCTAATTCTATCACCACAGAGGTTTCCGTGAATGGTCCCTGTATGGACCCAAATTGCAGTTCAAGCTGAATTTGCATAATGAGCAATTTCACGGTCTAAAAAAAGTGGATTTCAAATTTTAAAAAACAAAACAAATATGGCCAGTGAAAACCTGCTCATAACATTTCAAAATAAATCCAAACAGTGTTTGACTCTGAAAGCAACAAACACACACCTTATTTTTCTTACTGTACCTCAAGTGATCTGAGTTAAGGGCCAGAGTATGTGACCTTCAAAATGTAACAAAAGCATATACCGGCCAGAGGATGGACATTTTAATACGTAATCCTTAAAGGGAAAACTCTATCTACACAGTCAATGTAGACACACATGTAAAACCAGGAATTTAAATTTTTGTGTGGAAAACGCTTAATAGGAATCCCAGTTACAACTAACAAAATAACAGTAAAAAATTGGCCAGGAGCTGAATGCTTGCTTAATTTTCCATAAACTTTGAAGTTGTAGATCTCAAGTCTTAATTAGCTTGATGTTTTTCACCAGTAATACTTAATATGTCATTATATAATATACTGAAGAAATTTTCTTTGCATTCATTTGAGCTGAGTTCCAGAAAAATCAACCAAACGAGTATTTTTTTTTTTTAAAGTAAAAGAAACAAGTGGTTGTTATAAAGAACATCCAATATTGAGATTATGAAATTCTGGCTAACGAGAATTAGAACCAGATAGCTTTAGACTCTTGCTTTTCATTCTATTCTGAAGGCTTAAATAGTTTAACAATATTAGGAACCTACGCAGCGGAATGGGCAACACAAATTAAGAGATTCATCTGGACGATGGCACTCTGTAAGTAAGCACCAAACTAAACATAATTAGTTATTTCTAATACATACATTTAGAAATGGTATCAAGCCATTGTTTCAAAAAACTGAAGCACAAATTGCCCAGACCTAACAAAAACCACCATGTCAGATAAAGATTCAAACAAACATGGAGCAAAAACCACAGTACTCTTCGGTTGGTTGTCACATCAACTAAAAAAAAAAAAAGGGGAAAGAAAGAAAAAAAAGAAAAAGGGGAAAAAAACCCCCACACTTTAGATTAGAGTAAAATTATATGTCATGGACTTCACTCTCTAAAAGAGCAAAATCATTTGTCCAGCTTTCTTATCAAAAGATATTCAAAAGTTAATGGTTAGTGAGAGTATTTAAACTGGAAAAATGTATCTAACCAAACTGTACTTTGACCCCACATACGCAGACTGCAAACTCACGTTACTTTCGGAACAGTGTCTCCTCCATATTAGTGTGGCAAGTACAGGTTTTTAAAAGCAAAAAGCACCAGGTCTTAACTTGTAGGATCTCAGGTATTTTCCCTACAAGCACACCAAGGACCTTTGTGCTCACAGCCTAGTACCTTCCTTCTATCACAATGGCTAGTTTTTCCAGTTTAAAAACAACAAAAACCCTAGAAAAACCTCCACACTTAAAAAGAAAGTTCATAAATGCATAGTGAAAACCAAAAAGGATGACACAGCAGTGATGAGGATTTCATGCTGACATGCATTAGACACCTGTCATAACGGAAAATAAACAAATTACATGACATTTCCCTGGGTTATTATTGGTGCTATTTCAAAACTACCAGCTTTGATAACAGAAAGAAAACAGTTGGGTTCTGCCAGGCTTTCTATAAGTCACTTTCACAGAATAGAAACATGACCATGATCCAAAAGGTCCTAGAGTTTCTAATCATAATTAAATATCAAGGGCCTTAGCTAAAGTCCTCAGCATTTAAATCAAGGGGGAAAACATACTTACTAACGACCTGAGAAACTAGGGGTGAGGACAGGGATAAAGAAACAAGACAAAAAAAAGAAAATCATCCATTACTGTTATGCAGCAAAAGCCCTTGTTAAGAACTAGAAATCACTATAACCTTCAGCTTTGGAAAAAAAAAAACCAAACTGTGAGGTTGGGTTAAATTATTTGGTTGGATTAATTTATTTTGTATTAATTCCAGGTGTCTGGGAAATAAAACAATAAAAAGGGGTTTTCCTACACTGACATTTCAGTTCTCTGTGGTTGGACACCAGTGAAAAAGACATTCAAAACATTTTCAATAATGTAATGCCATCGCTACTGCTTATAAATGAAAATAAAAATACAGGCAAAATTTAAAAAGAGCATGTCAAAGGCATTTCACGATGACTTAAAAAATTTCTGCGATCCAGATATGGCTAATTCCCACTAAAACAAAAGCTGACTTATGAGCCTGCAGACAACTCTTCTTTCTATTATTGAAATCAGAAATTTGCATGGATACAAAAACAAAAACTCATCTTTGATGAAAAACACTTAAGTTTTGAAATACGCACAATTAAATTAGAACTGTACCTGCTATACCTCTCTGAAAGTCAGTAAAAACACCACCACACACCAATAACTAACCAAAGAATTCTGATTTTAAAAACACCTACCCACTTCTTGCATACTAGCATAAGACATATATGGTTTGTAACCTACTCCTCAATTTTTACTGAACAGTTACAGCTACAAACCAAAAGTGCATATACGGGATACAGAACTTAACTAATGATAAAAATGTATTAGAGCAGACACTCGGGGAATGAACCGTGTATTTTAAGAGAAATACTCAAATACCTGATTAAAATAATTACATTGCTATACAATTTACCAGTTTGTACTTTGAAGATTCCTGATCAAATTTCAGCCATACAAATAACACTTCTGGTATAGGAATTATTAACCTAAATACCAATTCAAGCCATTTTTAGGTATATATTATCATCTTTATATAGTCAAGTGGGCTCTTCCCCAAATCCCAACTTTTCAAAATTTTGGGCTTGTAACTCTGAGGATTTTTTTTTTAAGCTCAAGGTTAAAAAAGAAAAAAAAAAAGAAAATGAAGAAAAAGAGGAAAAAAAGTTACTCCTAAGAGTGGGAACTCCTAATTAAAGTAAACCCATCTGCTTGCTACCTTCAGGGCATCCCTTTCGCTTAAAATAATAGCTAAACTGTCCTGACTTCTATTTTAAAGGTTTATAAAAATATAAAAAAAAGAAAAGCTACAACTAAACAACTAATTCAAAAGAAAATTTCATCTGATGCTGTATCCCATTATACATCACAAAACAGGAACCATGTCAAAGTAGTAAATACAAGTTACACATGGACTTTAGGACGCACCACGGACAATGATCATGACCAGGTAATCTTCTTCAGATTTGGCCAGTGCCTTGGCAGGGGAATCCAGGAACTGCTGGGAGAACTCACAGGGTGGAAAAGCGTGAAGGACTCCGGTGTTTTCCTTGTCTTTATTGCCCCCCACAGGGAGGCTTATCACCCCAGCGGCCTGCTTTTGCTTTAAATAGGACACAAGGTTCCTAAGTGGCCTCTGAGTAGAGGTGGCAGTGTCTGATGTGGCTGAGGAAGAGGAGGACCTGCTGTCAGAATTTCCAGGCACAGCCAGAAGAATGGCATAACCATTGGGCCCTGCCACTTTGATGCGTCGAGTTACTTCATCCAACTTGGGCTGGTCCAAACGAAGACGCTGAGTGATCTTGAGCTGGGCTACTTTGCCTCCGGTTGAGCCCTCCACAAGAAGACTGCTAGCCACCTGGAGGTCACCCTGCAACAGATGCATGTTGGAAGGAAAGTTGCTGTTCTTCAACAGAAGCATGCCCTGCCAGGCCAAACAGAGTTTGGGAGAGGCTGCGGCTGCAGGGGCTGTCCCACCATCCTGTTTCTGGGAAGGGGACTTCAGCTTCGAGGAAGCAGTGCTGGTGCTGGGTGCACTCCCATCAGACCGGTCTTCTTTTTTCAGAGGGCTTTTTCCCTCGGTGGGAGCAGCTGTCCGGTGCTTCCTATCCCGTTCAGCTGATGCAGAGTTTTTACGGTCCCGCTTGTCACCCTGGCTCTTCTCCAAACTACCTCGTCTGTCTCTGACTGGAGAGGGCCTTTCCAAGAGAAGAAGACGGGAAGATCGATCATTGTCACTGTTGTAGCGATCCCGGCTACTGCTCAATTCTGGACTGCGGTCGGGAGAAGGAGCACAGTGACGCTTTCGGGGACGGTCGCTCTCAGGGGACCTCTCCAGGTGCCGGCCCCCGCTCTCCTCAGGTGGCCTTCGCTTCCTAGGCTGGTCTCTGCTGCTGGGCAGATCTCGATCACCTCTGTCCCGGTCCAAGGACCAGCCATCTCGCCTGCGATCCAGGCTATCCAGTGGCTCATAGGCAGGCACAGCAGTAGCTGCAGTCCGAGTGCTGCGTTCGCGGACTGGGGGCGGGGGTGGCACCCAATCAGAATCAGGATAAAGGTCTCTATCACGATCTCTGTATAGCAAGGGTGGTGTCCTATCCCGAGCACCCCTCAAAGGGTCAGGTGCCCGATGTCCAAAAGCATCCGTCACCAATTCATAATGAGTCAAAGGCAGAGGCTGCAGATATTGCTGCTGGTATCGATGCTCTGTGTCTGCAAAGTCTACTCTAAGGCGTCGATCTGGGCCCCCGAGTGGGAAGCCACGCATGTGGGTCCAGGCAGCATGAGCTGCATCTAGGCTTTCGTACTGGATATACGCCCAACTATCACCTTTGCGGTAGTCTATGGTGCGGATGGTGCCAAATCGGTCAAACTCTCGAGCCAAGGCAGCAAGAGGCACCCAAGGTCCCAGACCACCCACCCAGAGGCGGGTGGTGGGTGTAGCTTTCCCATAACCAATTTTGATAGGATTCCGAATTATAATTTTGCCAGACATTGCTAGTTTGGCCCGGTGAGACATGTCTAGGTTCTCAAACTTGAGAAAACCATAGGTACTGGTCTGGCCCCGAGACGGCCTCTTGATGTCTACTTCTGTGATGACTCCAAAGCGGTCAAAAGCCCTTCTTAGATCACTCTCTGTCACAGTGATGTCTAGGTTGCCCAAGAAAAGCGTCCGGTTAGCTCGCTGATCATCCTCGGGTGAGATCTCATCCACTTCTCTGAAAGGAGCAGCACCTGCTCCAGCTCCCACCCTTGGCTCAAGACTGTAAGCTGGGCGCACTCTTTCATAAAACGGGTAGTCTCGCTCTCTCTCCAGCTCACGGGGCAATGGTGGTGGAGGTGGAGGGGGCAGGCGGCCAAGGGCCAACTGCTGCAACCGGTAGTCTCTGTATCCCAGGGCTGCGCCACCAGGGGAAAGCGATCTCTGGCCTCCACCGCCTCCAGGGGGGTGCCGGTGACCACCTACAGAGGCCCCGACCACGCTGGCAGACGGAGGATAAGTATCTTTGTCTAAAGGGGAGCGGCTGCGGCGCCGGCTCACATACACTGCTTCTATCTTCAGCGGCCGGTCATAGAGCACTAGGCGGCCTCTGGCATGCTTGGCCGCCCGCGCGTCCTCTGGCCGCCGGAAGTTCACAAAGGCTACTCGCTCATCCCCGCTGCCGGAACCCGAGAGATGACTGATTTTGACACTTACATCACCGAAGCGTTTGAACTCGTGAAACAGTCCGTCCTCCACCGCTTCGTCACTCAGCTGGGACCCCAACTCGCTTATCTTCAGTGTCTTGTATTCCCCGCCGTCCCCGCCGCCAGGAGCTGAGGAGGCGGCCCCAGAGGAACGTGACTCCCCGCCTCCACCCCGGGAGCTGCTGCGCGACTCGCCCCCGCCCGAGGAATTTTTGGTGCTTGGGGAGCTGTAACTATGCAAGCGGCTACTGGAGCTGCCCCCACCAGTGTCATACTCGCGGCTGCCACCTCGGCTGCTGGACTTGTCCAGATGAAGGCTGCGCCGCGAACCGCCGCCGCTGTCGGTCTTTCCGCTGCTACTCCCATTGCTGCCACCAGAGCCCCCTAACTTCTTGCTCCGCTCCCCGCGGGAAGTCGAGTCCTCACCACCACGGGAGCGTTTGGGCTTGACTGGGGAGCGCTCTTTTCCCTTCATTGTTGCGGGTCGTCGGAGGTCGTCTCCGCGGAGATGATTAACCCGCCGCCCCGCGCTCGTTTCACACAGCGGAACCGCACGCCGCCATCTTGGACTCCGCCGCGGCGAAGGCTCCCGCCCCACAGTCCTCATTGGTCAATTAGCTCCTCTCTTCTACAGTCTCATTGGGAAAATGATTTGTCTGTCTTTACATCTCCCCGCGCTCCGGAAAGGCGCCCGCCCAACCAATGTTATTGGGTTCCCAACGCCCTAGTCGGTGTACTTCATTGGTTATATTCATTGTCCATCTTAACGGTTCCTCGCGCCAGGCTGTAGCTCCGCCCCTCGCACTCTAGGGTCACCTGACCCAAAGTCTGGAGGCGTTGATTGGACAAAAAGTCTGCCCTGTAACGGTACTTCTAGCGCGGTAAAAGCAGTGATCCCACCTCCTCATTCCTTTCATTGGTTTGTGACTCCATCCTTTAACCCACTATTTGGGAAGTCGGGCGATCTGTTCCAGTGTTTTTTCTGAAAGGCCAGCTTACAGCGCTCTCGCGAGAGAGAAAGCGCTCCCTTTTTCGACCTCTTCTTCCAACTCCTAGGGCGGCTGAGAGAAGTTTAAATCTGATTGGATGTTGACGAGGAAGTTGATAGGCTGAAATAACTGTCCATCATTCGCTTAAAGGGGTAGGCCCGTATACTAAGGCTGACTGAAGGTGAAAGAGTAGAACACGCGCTTGCTGTGCGACGTCACTAAGTCGTCGCGAGATGGTGACCAGAGCTAGCTCCGCCTCCTCGCGCTTTCGGCATTCGCTCCTCAAACATTTGTTTGGTCCTGCGGCGTACTTGGTGTGCTTCGTGCTCCTGGAGCTCGAAACTTCTGGGCCGCCCGCTTAGTACCTGTATGGGATGAGGGGCTGTCGGGGCGGATCCCTCAGGAAGCCGCCCCGGGGCGCCCAGCGGACACCATCTCAGTCCCGCTGGCTTCAGAACAGCCTGAAAAAGCTGGGGCCCGCAGGGCCGGCTGGCCGCGGGTTCACAGTTCGCAAAGTGCCGGGGCCCCCGAAGGCCTGGGGCTCTCGGGGGCCCGCAGCGAGGAGGCAGCGCCGCCGAGCGCAGCCTTCCGTGGCGGGCCGGCCCCCCTGGGCGCTCCCTACTCCAGCCCAAGCACGCCGCGGGCATGTCAGTGCGCTCCCCACTTTCTGGTGCGAGTGCGTTTGGACTGCGTGATCCCGTAACCTAGATCTGTCCGCTCTTCCTTTGTAGTGCCCCTCCCCGTTAAATGATCGGGTCAAGTTTACACTCTGCAGACGTGTCGCGTTTTTTCTGCGGCTTCTCCTACCTCCCGGCGTCAGGTTAGTAGAAGAACCCGGGAGCACAGCCCCCTTTGCCATCTCTCTCAGTGAACCTCTTGTCGCCCGTAGTCATCCGTTTCAACACCCAACTTTCAGTTCTTTCCGGGGACCTTTATAGGGTAAGGCAAATAAAACACCTGCTCCAGATGCGGCTCTTCGGCAGGTGGAGGGAGGAAGTGCTGAGTTCGTCACAGCGGTTAGGCTTTTTGCAGTCCTCCCAGGTCGTCTTCTGGCAGAGGTTACGAGAATTCTTGCGTCGATCGTCTCCTCGGCCACTTCTCTCAAGGCCCAATATGTAGTAGAGAATGTGATTTTAAACATTTTTCCAAGGTAACAATAATTCCCCCAAACGGAGATCTAAACTCCAAAGCTAAGTTTTACGATTAGGACGGCAAAGTGTTTAGCCTTGCGTTAGCCATCCTTCTCTTTCTAGATAATCTTCAGGAAGGTGAATTTGAGTTTTTACTCTTAATTTGATCAAAGAAGCTTGAAAGAAGCCTAATACGTGAAAGCATAAAAATCCGCGGCATTGTAGTGTGTAGACCTACTGGATGTAGCAAGATTAGCTATTAAAATAAAACTTCAGGGGCACCTGGGTGGCTTAGTTGTTTAAGTGTCCAGCTCTTGATTTTGGCGAAGGTCTTGATCTTGCAGTTCTTGAGTTAAAGCCCCATATGGGGCTCTGCTTAGGCAGCGCGGAGCCTGCTTGAGATTTTCTCTCTCTCAAAATAAATAAACAACAACAAAAAAACTTCATAAAGGCATAGAACGATGTGTATAAGATGCTACCATTTGTGGTTTTCAAAAATAATACATATGCTTAGGTGCATATGTTTTGTTAATATATATATTCATAAAACTTCATTGAGAATACTTAGGAAATTGTTAGGAAGATCACCCTGAGAGGAGGCTGGAGGGTGTGGGTGGGAGACTCAACTTTTCATTGTGTATCCTTCTGCGTTATTAAAAGGAAACTTGTTTTACCATGTGCATGCTATTACTGTTTTGTTTGTTTTTTTTTAATAGCAATTATATTTTGGCTACCCTTAAACTATTTTTATGAAAAAAGAAAAAACATACGAAAGGAGAATACTGTAAAGAACTCCCATGTACCAATTTCAACAATTACCAACTCCTTGTTTCTTATATGCTCTCTTCCCACTCTCCCCCCTCTTCATTATTTTGTTCTGGGCTTATCTGGTACATTTCCTGCCCCAGACACGAATCAGCCATTTCTCCAAGGAGATCTGATTCCTTTTCGTGAGAAATGATATTTGAAGATAAAAATCTGGATGTTAGGGGATAAAGACAACAACAACCAACACATTATTTGTAAAAGCACAAAACGAAAGGCTTTATATTGTTAGGAGATTTTAATCTGTTTCAAGGTTATATTAAATACAACACAAAATTGAAGTTAAGCCATTATCTGATTACTTAATGTAATAGCAATCCAAATAAACCAGGCTCCAGAGTGACTTTGGCCTAAACTGACCTGCATAGGTGACTGAACGATCAAAGAAAAAATAATGACCAAATCAGTACAGTTTCTCAAACCTCATGACAGGGACTGAGGGAGCCTAAGAGCTGAGGGAGAGAATTCAAGGAGCCACTGCCAGGATGTGTGGCAGTGCTTGAGGCTCGGCTAGGCTTAGCGGCTTGGCATTTGAAATAGGGAGCTTGATAGAAGCTACTGCCCACAGCTGGCTGCAGCAGAACTTGCCTTAAGGGGACTAATAGTCTGTCTGGTATGCAAAGGGCTGGTAAGTTGAATGGATAAACAAAAAAGGCCTAAATTCCATTATTAGTAACAGACCCAAACCATAACCTTGTGTGTGTATATGTCCACAGTAAAATTGGATAATGACATGTGCATGCTGTAGTCAAAATGAGTGTTTCCATTTCCTTTAAAGTATGAAGGTGCTTAGTGACGTCACATCAGCCTAACTTCACACATGTGCTTTCCAAAGAGCTGAACGAGGATGAAAGTGACCTATGGTTTAGAGGTCCAGGGCTTTAAACCCTTTTCCTGGCATTGGTGATGGAGTTGTTGAGATCCTGTTAAGATTTCATCTGGCCTCCTTGTGAGTGCCTTGTCAAAAACCAAGAAACGGAGTTGAGGAAAAGCTGTCCTAGCCCAATCTGGCTTCAACATTGTTCCCGTGAAGCTGTATAATTCAAAGGCCCTAGAGGACACAGCCCAGGAGGAGAGCAGCTACAACTAGCTTTCTATATGAAGTGCCTTTTCCATATCCTTTAAAATAAATTTTAGATTTAAAAGATAAAAGCAAAATAGAAGTTAAGCACATGGACGAAAACTGCACCACTAAAAGATATCAGTGTGTTTGCGATCAAATGTCTCTTTCCATCCTCTTGCTAGGTTTTACTGTTTGTGTACCCTCAATACACACACAGATAATTATGATCGCAATATGAAATTTATCTTGGGAGCTGAGAGCTGTTTGATTTCCTGGCAGATGCAAAAGGCCTGAAGCTGGGAATTGAAATTATTTTCCCACCCACAACTGTGAATTAAAATTTTCAATTTCCTCTTCTTCCATAACATGAGTGGTCTCCTGACAGTGAGGTTTATTTTGTTTGGTCTGCAGAAAAAGCATGTATTTTACCCATAGGCATATATTAAATCCTAAAATAGCAAACAATCATTTAGGACCCAGTTTGCATTATTAAAGTCACTTATTTGTGGATTGTGGGCTTTATTTTTAACAAGTTTATTAAGATATAATTTACATGCCATACATAAAGTTCACCCATTTAAAGTGTAGAATTCAGTGGCTTTTGGTATTCTTACGGAGCTCTGTATGTGGTTCATCCTTCTAACATTGTTACAGAAAACACTCTGCCATAACTTCTGCATGACTAAGCCCTAATATAATTATCTCTTTCATTTATCTAGACACAGGGCAGTGGTTAAGAGCATGGATTCTGGAACCAACCAATGTAGATTAAATCTCTGCTCTGCAGTGGGCAGAAGAGTTACTGTTAATCTCTCAGAGCCTCAATTTTCTTATCCTTAAAATGGGAATAATTCTAGATCTCTTCACTTGGAGGACTAAATGGGTTAAACCATAAAGATCTTAGAACAGTGCCTGGTATGTGGTAAGCACAACATACATGTTTACTATTACTAATATATTTTCTCTTTGAACTTGGGTACACAGAATTGGATTAATCATTATCCTTAGTTCATGGCATGCAGTCATCAATGGCCCATCCATGGGCCTTTAAACTTTTCATTTCTTTATCAACAACATAGTGAATATCCATGACACTACCACTTGATCCAAGAAAAAAAATGTTACTGATACTTTACATCTACTGAAATGATTTAATCCTTATTTCTTATCCAGTGCCTACTCTCATAGGCAACTACTATCCTGAGTCTGGTGTTCAAGAATTTGTTTTGGTTGGCTTTGTGAACTTTAAAGAATTTTTTTAAAGCAATTTTAAAGAGTGTGTGTGTGTGTGTGTGTGTGTGTGTGTGTGATGCATGTACATGCATGTTCATGCACCTTATGAATATACTATTTTATATTTCCTTGTTTTTTTAACTTTATATTTGAAAACGTAATATTTGTACTCTTCTGAGACTTCCATCTTTCATTCATAATGCTGCTATGATTCTTTCAAGTTATCATCTGTAGCTATAGTTTATTTCTTTCCACTGCTGTAAAACATTCCATTGTATTGGGGCGCCGGGGTGGCTCAGTCGGTTGAACATCCGACTTCAGCTCTGATTATGATCTCACGGTTCGTGAGTTCCAGCCCTGCATCAGG